GCAGGTTGCAGGTATGGCAGCTAGTGTAGAACCTTTGGGCGGACTACTTAAATAGGCAACCAAAAGTTGTATGTGTGCTATTTGTACACTCATCAATGTACTAAAAAATGTTTGTAAATAAGCATATAAAAACACAATAAAGCATTAGCAGCTGTGACATCAGTTTAAAAAAAAAAAAAAAAAAAAAATTTATAAAATAAAATTTATATATATATATATGTAATATATAATATGCTACCCCTACACAAAATTAATGCAAATATATAAAGTTTAATTATATAGCAGTATAATGTTTATTCATTTTCGGATGTATCTGACTTATTATTTTCTTGATCTTCCTCGTCATCACCTTGCTATAAAATAGACGATAGTGTGTTAAATACAATATACATATTACTAATAAAAAATTGCAAATGTCGAGATAATACTATTTATCAAAGTATAACTTACCAAAAAATTTCTCAATTTTCTTATCAGTATCATTCATCAAATTTAATTTTGACAATTTCAGAATTGAACAAATTATGTAATATAGCCTGCATTACTGCATATTGATTTTTTGTAGGTTGTAGGCCAAAAATCTTCTTGGCTACCATTTGAAGATACGTTTTATCTTCATCCTCGATTATACTATCCAAGTTTTCAAAGCACTATTGAACTTCTTCACTTGCTTTCCAAGCGATTATCTCAGATTCTGAACTTTCTGAATTAATGGTTGGCGAAATCTTCTTTTTAAAAACATGGTTGAATATAGCACGTCAAAAAGATCCAAATAAAGCTCCACGATACTTGCATGCCTCAGTGCTGATCTATATTAAAAAATTTTTATGTAATTAAGAAAAAAAAAAAAAAAGCTAAATCAATTACTTACTGAATTTTTGATTCTGCTAAATAACGTCTCCCACTTAGAATTTTTCTTGTACCGGACCATTTTATCAGGACAGAAATTTTTCAAGTTCATTTCGAATAGTCTGTTCATAAATTTTCTTATTTGAATAAAGCCAGTTATCAATAGCATTCTTAATGCCTTGTGTCATTCCTTTTTAAATTTTAATAAAAATCGTTTTAATAAATACAGTAAATCAAATTTCCATAGCAGCACTTATCAAGACCTGATCGGCCAAGTTGACATTAATAATGTTAATCTTCTGACTAAAATCTTACTAATAAATACAAGTAAAATGCCATATAATACAAATCCATGGTTGAATAAATAAAAAATTGATATCGGCAGCGTAGAATCGATTTTCTTCTCTTCACATAGTTTAATCTAAGATTTTATTAATAGAGTTCAAGTTTACTATTAAGTACAATATAATATATTGTATAGTGTAAATATATTTATAATAAATGTGATTTTTTGAAACACTAACCTGGTTCTAATTTTTTAATCGACTATATAAACAAAAAATCGATTCTACGCTCTAGTGCTGTGATATAATTTAGAAATATGTTTACATATATCTGCCACCATTCACGATCATGGTCTTTCATATTTGGCTTAAAATTTTCTTGTAAAGATTTTAAAACTTTGATATCATTAGTTAGTAGAGTAACCGTAGACTCCAAAGCTTTTTGTTTTTCCATAATTGAGATACTTTGCGTCAATATTTGTTTGGTCATTTCTAGTATTAATTTCATCATTTTGCTTTCACTATTTGAAGCTATTCAGTTGAAGTTAATACTTAATTCAGAATTTAAAATCATATAAATTGTTGTTAGATTTCTATAACTGACCATTCTCATCATCAACTGACAAATTTTCTAACATATTTGTAAAAGATTTGCTGAGTGGAAGTCGAGGCATGCTTTCAATAATTTCACAAGGAAAGTTTGGAGTATCATTATCAATATTGTCGATTTCAATGTAGTTACTTTGATTTATAGAATTATGCGAAACATTCTTTGCATTTTTAGGAGATTAAGCAGTAGTTTCATTTGTGTTTTGCAGTTTCTTTATAGAAGTAGATGGATTAGACCTTAGAGCATCTAATGCCTTAAAAAATAAAATAAAATAAAATAAAATAAAAATTAAAAAAATTAAAAATTTGTTTTTTTTTTGTAACTATTTAAAAGTTCAAAACTTGATAATTACTGTAACAACTTCATTTTGTTGAGAATCAAGCTTTCGCTTTTGACCTTTAAGAGGTATGATAAAAAAGAACTATTTTTAAAATATTAATATTTAAAGAAAATATAATAATTAGTGCTTTGAATTTTAAGAATTTTTTTAAATATTATGTAAGGATTAAATAACAAGCACTGTGTAGTGACAAATTATGCAATATATAAAAATAATGCATATTAGTAATTAAAAGTGAAAATCAGAAAAATTGTTTAATTGTATAACCTATTTAAGGTAATTATTTTGTAAAAATATATGATTAGATTGCTTGGTTATTTGAGTGATGATTAATTATTTGAAATATTTATACAGAATAACTCTGAGACTAATTTGTGTAATCTACCAGAATATTGTGATCTAATCAACTACTATTGTACCTTACTAAATAAAATCAAAGATATATGTATAAGATCGGTTATGTTAAAATGCATTATAAATGCGAAAAAAAATAAATTTAGTGTTTACTTGCAATAAAACAAAAAGCTATATTTGAAAGATAAAAGAAAACTTACCTGATAGTCATATTTTTATTGTATTGCAGTAAGTGCTATTTTAATTAAATATAAAAAAAATAACAAAAATATAATAAAATAAAAACTAAAAAAAAAAAAAATTAAAATTAAGAAAGTAAAAAAAAAAAATTTAAAATAAATAAATAAATAAATTAGTTAAGCTTATCTTTTTTCTTAGATATTTTCATGTTTACTTGTGGTGTGTGTAGCCAAAGATTTGGCCATTTAAAAAGCTTTAATAATCACAAAAAGATTCACAAAAACAACTATCATTTAGAATGTGAAACTGGTACTAGTACGGATACCTACAGTTTTGACAATAATGATCTGATATCTGATAATCAAGAAATTGATAATGAATCTAGCATAGTGTTTGATATTCAAAGCACTTCTGGTGAATCAAATTTAATACTTGATAATCAAAAAATCGACAATGATGAATCTAGTTCGATGCTTAATACTCAAAGCACTTCTAGTAAATCGAATCTAGTGTTCAATAACCAGAACGAAATTGATTCAATATTTGATAATCAAGAGATTTCTAATTGAAGTCTTACTTATGAGTCTGGTGAAATATTTGAGGGGAAAATAATAGAAGATAGAAAGAACATGTTTGTTGATGAAATTAATGAATCCCAGAATGATGATAGTAAATATAGCGATATTTGTGAAGTAAATAATGAAGACTTTCCTAGCAATGTATATCGGGATTTCATAAACATAGTAATTATCATGTTTGTTAATTTAATTTAAAAGTTTGTATTTAAGTAATAATTTATTTAATATTAGGTAATCAGATACAAGCTTTCATATAAAGCTGGCGATGTGGTATTAAAGTTTATAAAAAATTATAGTTAAGTTTCAAAGAAAACTCTGCCTAGATCAATGAAGGATGGTCTTCTATTTTTGGATACATCGAGAGAAGACCACACTAGGTTTTTTTCAAAACCTGTTGCACAAATAAAGGATCAAGTATATTCATTCGAATAGGCCAATTCTTTCAGCAGTTAAAGAAATTCTTCAACATGGAGAAATTGCGGCAAACTGTATATTTGATTACCAGAAAGTTTATATATCAGTTGAGACAAGCACTGTAAAATTCTTAGATATACTGTATTAAGGATATATTAATTTAGCAAATTTTCAATATAATTCTAAACTTAATATTTCTTTAGAGATGCCTGAAAAAAGTATTCTCCGAATTTTACAATTGCAAATGGTGGAGTCGTGCACAACAATATATTTTCTTTTGAAAATAAGATCTTGGCTATAATACTATACTTGACCGTTTAGGAAAAAGTTCATAGCACCCAATATATATCAGTTTGGGAAATATTCCAACAACTCTTCGTAATAGGGCTAAGACAAAGACGCTTGTCAGTATTATACTGATATTGAAAGAAACAAAAGAAGAACAACAAACACCACAGTTTAGACAGTTAATTTGATCAATCTTTCACAAATATATTAATATATTAATTGAGCCATTACAATCACAATATCGTTCTGGAATATTATTAAAAGTTAACAAATATAATATAAAGTGTAATATGATGCTTGCCTGTGTTATCAGAGACTGGCCTGAAAACTGTAAATCATGTTTAACCTATAGTGGAACAAGTTGTGCACGTCCTTGCCACACCTGTCTCATAGAAAAGGATGAATTAAATGCTATTAAATTATCTGCCAATCACAAAATCACCCGAACAGAAGATCGGATGAGACAAATCATTGCAATAGGATAGGGCAAGGAGTACTCATTACATGAAGAAATAAATAGCTTTTGGAATCATTTGTAAGTAGTTAATAATACAACTTAATTAATATTAAAATTTTATTTAATTAAAGTAGCCAATTGGCATCTATTATGAAAAAGGGTATTAAAAAAAATTTATTTAACTATATACATAATTCATATTTATTATTTTAGAAATTTTAATATTTACACAGCAACAGTTTCAGAGTGAATGCACTATTTAGATCTTGGGCTCTTTTCATACATGGTTAAGTTTACACAAGATCTCTTAAAAGTTCACAGCAGAAATACTCTTATAATTAAAATGGATCAAAGACTCAGGATGATACCATGTTATCCAGGGCTAAAGATATTCAATATTGGGCTTGCTGATCTTGCACTGTTTACAGCAGCTGAATACAGGCACATGATGAAAGTTATGTCTTTTGTTCTCGAAGGGCTTTTTACAAAAAATAAAAATAAACTACTTGTTCATATGTTCATTAATTGGAACAAAATGTATCGTTATTCAATACAGCATAAATTTACACAGACTGATCTTCTTCAATTTGAGATTAATAATTTTTATAAAGATTTTTTTTTTTTATAATTGGGTCTACACTAGGGTTTGAAACTGGATTTATTTTTTAAATCTGAATTTATTTAATTAGCAATCTTTCAGCTTTAAATTTAAATTCGAATTATTAAATTGAAATCTAGATTTATTTCAGAATCACTTTATTAGTCAAATTTCAACAATAATCATACAAAAAGTAAATGTCAAATTTCATAGCATCATTGTATATATATATATGACAAAAATATTTGACCACCTAAGAACAAAACTATTTAATAATTACAGGGTGATCGAATACTTTTGTTCTCTGTGATTTTTGTTAAAGATTGACATTGCAGATTTGGCCAATTCGGTTTCATATCTGAATTTAAATTAAATCCAAAGATCAAATCTAGTTCCAAACTCTAGTTTGTACTAGTAATATTACTAATGTCAGTTAATTTTTTTTTTTTTAAATAGAAGTCGATTGAAACATGGGCAAAAAATTTCATTGATATTCTTGGCTAATTTACGAGAATGACTGTTAGTTTTTAAATTTTTAGCACTGGATACATCATATAATTGAAACAATTAAAGAATATAGAAATCTAAATGGATTAAGTGCTGACACATATGAGGCGCTTCATAAGTTTTATATTAAAACTCTTTACAGGATGTCTAACAAACATGATATTGATAAGCAGATTTTGCAAAAGGTTTTTTTTGTGTTTAATATACTTATATACGCACTTAGTATATAATTTGTACTAATACAGTAATATGTACTTATTAGATAGCGTGAACAATTACGATAAATGACTACATTGTTTCAGAAAATTACCAATCCAAAATAAAAAAAAATTGGGACAATTTGGAAAAAAATATTGTACCATACCTCTGTATCTTCTAAGGTCACTTGCTAAACTATATGAGCATAATAAGAAAGTGTTACTGAGATCCTTGAAGGTTTACGCCATCTTGTTCTGCAATAAATAACTATTTTAAACTTGTACTATCTATGCGTGAAATAAATATAGAGAAATTAGAAGCAACTTTAATATTATATGAATCTTTCGTATTATCTAATGAAGAACAAGAAAAAGCTTTAAAAAATTATTACAATGTATTGATGTTTAGTGATGTTGCTATTCTTATAGACTCAGAGCAAAAATTTGAAGTATGTAAAGAATATTGTTTTGCAAAGGTATATATTTAAAATAAATGTAGTTTTATTCATAATTTATATTAACTATTTTAATCTTATAGGTTTTGTTATTGATTCATATCATATTTAAAAATGCTTCAACATTTAATCTAGCACTTGTTCGTTGATATGATTTTAAACACCCAAATATCCCTTCAAAACTTTATAAATTCGGGTGCCCTTATTTACAATTAACAAGTATTTACAATATAATTCTGATAGAATTAATTAATAATATTGTTCGCATTGTTCCAAAGTTTGATGCACTGAATTCATACTATGTTAATATTTTCATATAACTAATTTATATAGATGTTTTCTTTATATTCAGTATAATTTATTACTTACTTGTTGCATATTAGTAAGAAAATTTGTAGCCTTTTAATATACTGAATGAGTACATGCATCTTGTATTATGTTATGATTTTTTAATTTATGTTTTAATTTTTTATCTGCAGTATACAAAAGATTTAATGAAAACTAAATAAAGAGTTACTCAAAGTATCCAAATAGAATACTACATGATCTTATTGCATGGCTTATGCAATAGAAACAGGCAACTGGCTATTGTTAGTCTTTTTCAGATTCGTATAGAGCACTATCAAGGTACATATATATGTGTTATTTAAGTAATGGATTAAAATAAAATTGGATTAAAATGAAATATTATACAATGCAAAAAATAGATGACCTAATAAAAAATAAAATTTTTGAGATGCATTTTTTAGAGTTAGGGGTTAGGATCGGAGGTTAGTTTTAGAGTAGAGTTTATAATAAACAAGTATAAGTGAGTTTTAGAGTATTAAATAGAAACCTCTATTTTATTTAATCCTATTTCATTATGATTTGTGACATTTAATATTTATAGATCATATACTTAATCTTCAATTTATTTAGTGAAAGAGACTCTTATGTTTTTGAAGATGGGCAAAAGGAAGATGCATTGGTATTTAATATAAGCCAATATTCTTATACTTATTAATAGCCTTAATTGTAAATTAAATATTTAATGCTTTAGTGGACGATAATAGCTCAGAAAGGTTGTTACTACTATCTTTATTTGTTATATGGCTTCCAAATCAAGCAGCGATGGATTTAATCAGCATCATTGAGAAAATCTTACATGACATAAAAAATTGTGAAATTTATACTTATAAATTAAATGATTTAGAAAAAATGTATCCTTCATTGTATAAGATCTACAATGCCGTTAAATGTAATCGCCAAACAAATGAGTAATTATCAGCAAAAAGATAATAAAAAAGCAAATTCAGTAGCATTTAGAAGCAGGCATACCCAGATAGCGAGCTGCTAGTACAAGAAATCCGCAGAGCTTTCAAAACTAAAGTAAGCATTTGACAGATTTGATAATATAATTGTCTAATTTTGACATATAATTTTTCTTAAAAAAAATATTGTATTTGTTTCATCCTCAACACACTTGTAATCACATCCTTATTATCACAATTTAGCATTATGCTACCTTCAAGTGATAATTTACAATTTGGCTTACCGAACATTGTTGAATTTGTGCACTAAAAAGCTCAAGAACTTGGTTTCAAAGTCTTCTCAAACGTGATAAAATTAATGCATTCTAAGAAAAAAAGGTCAATCTAAATAGTGATGATGAAAGTACGTTCACAATTCCATCGAGAACATACAGTATATAAATGCGTAAAAGTCAATACTATCAAAATCAAAAAAGAAAAAAAAAAACTTTTTTTCTCAGATACTAAAATGATCATTCCTGTAAGATGCTTCTCTTGCGGTAAAGTTATTAGAAATAAATGGGAAACATATCAAACTATACTTAAGAGTGATTATAATGAAAGAGCTGTGATGGATGAAATTAAAATTCAAAGATATTGTTGCCAACACATGATCTTGACATATACAGATTTAATCACAAAATTACTTCAATATAACCCTCAAGAGAGAAGTCTGTACCAACTAAAGGAACTAGCTCAAGATCATCTGCAAGAACTGGTTAAGGAATATGATGACATAATATAAATGGGATCCTTTTAATAAAGCATTAGCATAGATAGGTTTTGAGCTTCATTTTGGCAATCTTGGATAGCAATTAATTTTAAGTATGTAATAATAAAGAATGCATATAATCAAACTTGAATATGAATAATAAATAATGATTTTCAGATTTATAAAAAAAAAAAAAAAAAGAAATATTAATTCTCAAGAATCACCTATGCGTGTATAAAATTCTTATATAATATTTATATAGAGTTTACGATATTTATATCATAATTTTATTTATAATTTGTTGATATATAAAAATTATATAATAATAATACATAACATATAAATACATAAAAATTATATAAAAATTATATGTAAAATTATATTTATATAATTATATATAGTTTTTATAAATCTTATATTAAATTATATGTAATTGTTATTATATAGAATTTTTATATAAATTATTTATATAAAATTTATAACTATATAAAATTTATATAAATATTTTATTTATATTTTATAAATATATATAGCTAAAATATATAACTTTTATGAATATATAAAAATTATATAAAATTTTATATAAAAGTATACTTATATAACTATAAATAAAATTTGATATAAATATTATAGTAAATTATATATAATAATTATTATATATAATTTTTATATAACATTCTATATAGTATTTATATAAACTTGTAAGTCTACATAGAATATATAAAAAAACAACTTTGTAATGCAGAATTAAACTTCGTATATGCTTTGGTAATTTATTTAACAATTAAATGATTATGATTAATCATACATATGTTATCTTGAAAACAATTATTAAAGCAAACAGAATAAAATTTTATATTCACAGAATTAAACTTCGTATACACTCTGGTAATTTATTAAATGATTAATTAATTAATTAATCATATATATATTCTCTTGAAAACAATTATTAATGTAAACAAAATTAAATTTTATACTCACAGAATTAAACTTCATATATGCTCTGATAATTTATTGAATGATTAAACAATTATGATTAATTATATATATGTTCTCTTAAAAACAATCATTAAAATAAACAGAATTAAATTTTATATTCAGAATTAAACTTTGTATGCACTCTGGTAATTTATTGAATAATTAAATGATTACAATTAATTATACATATATTCTCTTAAAAATAATAATTAAAGTGAACAGTATTAAATTTCATACATACAGAATTAAACTTTGTATATGCTCTAGTAATTTATTTAATGATTAAATAATTATAATTAATCATATATATGTTCTCTTAAAAACAATCATTAAAGTGAACAAAATTAAATTTTATACTTACAGAATTAAACTTCATATACACTTTGATAATTTATTGAATAATTAAATGATTGATTAATCATATATCCCTTAATATGTAGACCAACACAGGCAAATTTGCCTGCGTTTTTGCACTTTTTTAGCTCTGATTTACTTTTTTA